TCAGCCAATTGCATATATAAGCAGAACTTTAAGCATTTCCAAACAAACTTGGTCTACTACGCAAAAAAAATATTGGCAATTATTGTTGCAATTAAGATGTGGCGGTTATACCTCTTTGGTCACAAATTTTATATACAGACGGAGTAGAGAAGTTTAAAATATCTGCTTGAGCAACGTATTACAACTCCTAAACAACAGAAATGACTTATAAAAGTATTTGTTTATGATTATGAGATTATCTACAAACCAAGGAAAGAGAACTCTATTGTAGATGCTTTATCTAAAAGAGATGACGGTTCTACACTTCATGTTCTATTCATTCCGCATACACAACTATGGGATGACACCCGCCAGCCTTTGGTGACAAATCCTTACCTGGAGAAAATTGAAAAATTAGCTATGGAAAATCTTGACCAGCCATATGCGAAGAAAGACGGATTGATTTTTTTCAAAAATCGGATAGTCATTTCTCCTCGAACCGACATCATGAATCAGCTATTACAAGAATTATTTGTATGGGAGGGCATTCGGGTATTCAACGCACATTCAAACGTCTTGCTCAATAGTTTTATTGGTCATCCATGCATAAGACCATTAGTGAGTATGTTTCCTCTTGTGATGTTTGTCAAAAATCTAAAGCAGATATCTTTACTTCGGCCAGACTATTTCAACCATTGCCAATTCCCGATCAAGTTTGGGAAGATATTTTCATGGATTTCATTGAAGGTTTACCTACTTCTCATGATAAAAGTGTTATTTTTTTTATATTCGACCGCCTCACTAGATCCGCACATTTTGCCACTTTGAGTCGTCCATATACTGCCAAGATTGTTGCAGAACTCCTTATCAACACAATAGTCAAATTAAATGGCATGTCTCGGTCAATTGTTAGTATCATGATCTTATATTTCTCAGTAACTTTTGACAAGAATTCTTTAAACTGTCTGGCACCAAACTCAAGATGAGTTCAGAATATCACCCTCAAACTGATGATCAAACCGAAGTTACTAACAGAAATTTGGAACAATATCTTCAATGTCTTTGCCACCAACAACCTCGCAATTGGACTTCTATATTACCTTGGGCTGAATTCTGGTACAATACCACATATCATTCATCTATCAAGATGTCTCCATTTCAAGCACTCTACGGACGACCACCGCCTACTATTCCTCCTTATCATACGGGTGGTTCCCTTGTGAATGAAGTTGACATTCAATTGACTAACCAAGATGCCTTGCTACAACAACTTAAACTTAATTTGCAGAGTGTCAATCATCGCATGTAGCAAATGGCCAATTCCAAGCGGTGTGATGTTGAGTTTCAAGAGGGTGATTGGGTTTTCCTTAAATTACAATCTTATTGAGAGCAATCCGTCTTCAAACGAGCCTTTCACAAACTTGCTTGTCGTTTTTATGGGCCTTTCCAAATCATTCAACGAATTAGACCAGTGGCTTATAAGCTCCAGTTGCCTGCTACATCCCGCATCCATCCAGTTTTTCACATTTCGATGCTTCGAAAGAAGCTTGGTACTATCACTTCTACTATAGATATCCCGTCTCCTACAGAGGACAGTGCTCCACTCCGACAACCAGAATCTATTCTTGATCACTGATGGATTAAGCGTGGTTCCAAATTTGTGGAAGAAAGTCTTGTTAAATGGCGTCATCTCCCACTCGAAGATGCTACTTGGGAAATAACCACTGCCTTACACGAATAATTTCCTGAACTGAACCTTGAGGACAAGGTTCCTCTTCCTGGGGGGATAATGATACAATACGCAGATCACAGAGACCCAAGATGCCCAACTCTTGATACTTCAAGAACCACCATAAATGATTAAACACTTATCAGAGCAGTTTCTGAAGAAGATGTGATCAGATAGTTTATATCAGTTATTTACAATTTATTGTATTAGAGAAGTAGTTATATTTTCTTTTCTATTTAAGCTTGTATGTCTAAAGTACTGGGGAGAATAATTTCAGCAATAAAATTATGGTTGATTTCTCACTCTAAGAGAAATGTCTCTAAATCTATTATTGTTCTAATTGGGACCCTATTAGCTCCATCAATGACAACAAATTACCGCCAATATTACAAACAAATTATTCGCACATAATCGAGACAAGAACACGAAAAAGTATAACAGGTAAAGAAACAGATGGCTTGTTTCTAGATACGTATGTATGTATATATGAACATGTACAGAGAGAAGAAAAAAAGGATAGCAGTTATGATACCTGCGGCGGAGTGGAGGCGGAGGAGATTACTGGCAGTTGGGGAATAGGGTTCGTTTGGCTTTCTATCTATCTCCAGTTTCAGTTTGCTGTTTTCTGTAAGCAGTAACTTCTGGGCACGTCCGCAATTTTTTATTTTTATTACAATTTAGTCCCTCAGTTAAATTTATTCACCAAGTTCACCCAAGATCCGACCCGTAACCCGACCCAGAAAACCCTAAAGATCAGAAGAACCTCTCTCTCTCTCTCTCTCTCTCTCTCTCTCTCTCTCACCACCTGTTGCAGCCAATTTCTTCCTCCACGAGCAGATTCCGCTTCCACGTGTTGCGGTTTCTTCAGCTGCGCGCCTGTGTATCAGACTGGCAGGTGGTTTCTGCTAATTGGAGACCACCAGAGAGTGGACTCTACGACGGTTCGCGGTGGTCAGTCACCACTGTGCAGCCATTTCCAGAGCTCATTACGACCTCAGCAGCCTTTCTGTCACCAAAGAAATCCAGCTTCAGTGAGTCATTTGGGTCCATACACACACACCGAATGTCAACTTGAAGGAAGAGGTAAATTTCTGCCGGTAGTTCTTGTATTGATAGTTCAGTTTAATTATTGAGTTCATTTGCTTTTGTAAAATTTTGCTTGAATTGATCAATTCTATAAATTTGTTTGTGCTGCTGGTGGCACATTATAAACGTGTTATAAGATATAAGACGATTCAATATTTGGGTTTGTAACCATTCATTAGTAGTATGTCTGTCCATTATCGCAACCCAAATGAAAACTTCAACCTTTTGAAGGACTTTAACCTTCCATGATTACTTATTAAAAACCGAAGTTTGAGTTGGAGTATTACTTTTTAAGTAATCAAAAGAGGATGAGTTCTGAAGAAATGATAGAAAGAAGCTTCAAGGATGGTAGCTAATTATGATAAATCTGAGGTCCCTCTCGCATTAAGGTTGCGAAAGACGTGAAAGTTCCAAGAAAATTTGAGAATCTCAGACATTGTTACATCACCAAAGATGGGATAGGATTATAATAACATAAAGATCATCTGTAGAGGCTTGAGAACCAATGAAAAAAGGAGAATCCGAAACCAAAGGTCCTCCCAAGGTAGGAAATGGGATTCATCTGGGTTTGCTAGAAACTGGGTTTTGCACTGTTTTTGTGGATCATTTCTCACGTATGTGAAGTAAAGCTTGGTGGCTTTGCTTCTTATCCACATTAAATATTTAGTTTCTTTATTAGAAAATTAAGTCATTTGTGCAATTGATGGAATATTTGCAATACTTTTGTTACATATGCACGTTCAGGAAATATTTTTCACAAGTACAATATTGAACAACCTAACTACTCTTCTAGTTTTTCCAGAAGAAATAAACATTGTAACTACACATGTTTTCACTATTTTCATTTTTAGAAAATAGTTTGTTTTCCTATTTGCCAAATTAGGATTATATGTGATGTGATATAACACAAAAATGAGAAGTCTTTTTGTTATTCAGCACAATCTTGGAATCTCTCCCATATTCTCACTCTTTTGGAGCTATGTAATTTTTACTTGAAGTGGCCATTCTCGTCTCTGTCGCTTGCATTCTGAATGGCAAAAGCTTTATCTTGGAGCATTCAAAAAGCTTATTCGCTTTTCAAATCCTCCTCTCCAAATATTACTGTCAGAAATATTACTGTCAGGTACCTTCCTCAAAACGCGCTCACATTGCACAGCCATGCAAATGTCCCCATGCATACAAAAACAAACGTGTCACTATGTGTAGATATTTGTTTTACAAATTTTCTTGTGTACTCTTCATTTGCGTAATTTATACCTTTATTTCAGGAATCAGTTGTCTTCTCATCTAAAAACAATCTATGTACCAAATTGACATGATTTAAAGAGCTTGATTTGGTTGTGATTTGAAGATTAATGTGAGGAAATAGCAGGAAAAAAGAAATACAAATACTAGGCAAATGTGAACAATGTAGGCAGATCCTTTTATTTTTATGTAACAGGAATAATGAAAATGGATAGTTCTTTTTCTTGACATACGTGATGAAGCAAGACATGTAAAAGACAGAGGAAGGCAGAACATAAATTTGAACATATTCTTGGATCTGCATAGATGTTTCTCTTTATGTCAAATACAAGCTTTCCTCATGTTATTCAATCAACTTTCTGTCACTCGTAGGTCATTCTGGCAAAGTCAAGTATTGGTTATCTCCCAATCCAAGCACTTACCTCCACTTAACCCGACAAACCCATCATGGCTTTTTAGAAGCTTGAGTCATGGTTCAGTAAACTTGGTGATATCAGAAGGCAAACCTAAGTTTGAAATACATAAAGTTGACCCTCCCAAGAAGGAGAAATGGAAAACCAAGAAGAGGTTGAAATTGCAGAGGAAAAGAGAGAAGGAGAAAAGGAAAGCTGCCAATAGGAGGGACCCACGTTGCCTCACTGTCAGGGGAAAGAAGAAGCAAAAATTTGCAAATGCAGAGGAGAGAATCAAGTACAAGCTTGAGAAGGTTAGCATGATACTCTTTTTTGAGTTTTTATTTTAGGTTAGATTTTCTCTTGAAAAAATTCGAAATCCTATTGGATCCCAAAAAAGCTTACAAAATCACTTCAAATATGTAGTCAATTTTTAATACATTTTTTATGGCATAAGATGCCAAAATATATATATATATATATATGTATGTATGTATATGTAGTGGAACCAGTTCATGTAGAATAAAAACCTTAACAGCATCTTCTCTAATTTGGAGGTCAACCCGAGATGGACTTTTTACAATCAGGACATTAGTCCTCTTATTGGTTTGTGAATTCAAAATTACAGGTTGTGTGCGCGATTACAGCCGATAAGTGTTGCTTCCTTTCACTTACAAACATTGTATACGCGGCTTTTAATTGCCATTTGGAGTGGTGGACGTGACACAAGATTTTGAAATTAGATTTAATGTTAGCTTTTTGACTGACTGACTAGTTTCTGACCCCCTGATTTCTGCAAATGACCCCTACTCTGCTGAAAGGTCTCTTTTGTTGCTGGTTTTGTATAATGAGCAATGTTCAGCGATGTCTTATTCCCATAATACTTTGTGGTGCTCTTTATATTTACTCACGAACCTTGCAGGCCAAAATCAAGGAAGCATTGCTGATTGAAAGACTTAAGCGGTATGAAGTCCCTAAGGTTCAGGGTCCAATTGTTAAACCACATGAGCTAACTGCTGAGGAACGATTCTACATGAAAAAGATGGCTCAGAAGAGATCTAATTATGTACCAGTTGGCCGAAGAGGTATATTTGGTGGTGTCATTCTTAACATGCACATGCATTGGAAGAAGCATGAAACTGTTAAGGTCATTTGCAAAGGTTGTAAGCCTGGCCAAGTGAATGAGTTTGCCCAGGAGCTTGCTAGATTGAGTGGCGGGACCCCAATTCATATAATAGGAGGCGACACCATCATATTTTATCGTGGGAAAGACTATGTGCAACCTGAAATTATGTCACCCATAGATACATTATCCAAGAAAAAGGTACACGTCACTTTCCATAACCCTATATGCCTGTTTTGCTATGTACACTACACATAAACATGTGAATGTAGAAATTCACAGTTTTAGGTGTAAGCCGTCATATTGTTAACCAGAAATATTTTTAGCAAGCCCGTTTGATATGTGTATATATATATAGTGAGAAACCATATGATATAAAGCTTTAGTATTAATTTGGTTATTTTCCAAGTTCAAGTTTCTAGCAATGGTGAAGTCATTTTATATGACACTCTCCAATGTTCTCCTAGAACTAAGTTTACCTGTCCTTGCAGGCACTTGAAAAATCCAAATACGAGCAATCACTTGAATCTGTGAGGCGCTTTATTGCCATTGCAGAGAAGGAATTGGAGCTCTATTACAGGCACAGTGCACTATATGGTGATCCAAATGATAGGAACCCGCTTTCAATCTTGGACACCCCAGGAAAGGACTCCCAAGAATCTGGCAAACCTGAAATGCCCAAAAGGCATTTCCATGATTTGACATGTCAAAGCTTTTCTCCGAGTATTGCAGACACGGAAGCCGGTCTCGATTACGAAGAAGCATCAGAATTTGATTGTGATTTTGAAGATGAAGACATACCCACAAGTGAATCAGATTCTCAAATTTCCGTAGACGACTTTGATGATGAAGAAAGCACTTCTGGTACGCAAAAGAGTTCCTCCACAATTTTAAGTTCTCAATCATTGGTTTAAAGTAGATTCCATTCCCATCCCCAACATTTTTTAACAGAATGATGTACAAAAAGTAAGAAGTGGAATAGATCAGAAATGCATATCTATGATATTTAGTGTATTCATGTTCATATTCCCTTAGCTTTTTTTTTTTTTTTTGGTTGGAGGATCAAAATAAACATTCATCTGAACAGAAATCAAGCTGTACTTAATTATTCTCTTGTAAATGGTTCTGCCTTTTAGATTAGGTCTAGGGTTTAGTGAGAAAATATTTTTTAAGAAAAAAAAAAAAACAGTGAGGATAATGCTTCAAGCACTTCTGTCTTATTCTAAGACTGTTGGAAGGGTGCTTCAAGCACAGCCAAAAAAATATGAAGGATCCACGTAGCAGATACTACTATTTGATTTGATACCATTTCATGTTGATAATGGTGATGCACTAATTTTATGCCCCAATTTTCTTTCTACTGTTACTTATTGATAGAGTATAAACCCTAATCCATAGTGGAAACAAGAATTTTCTTTGTAATTTAATAGATGAAATCAACTATTTGAATTGATTTTGGAATTGTACAAAGCTAGGAAATTTTGATGGTACACATATATCAAAATCTATATGTATATCTATATTCTATACCCATATATATATAAGGAAAATTGAGATTTGCCCAATATTTTATATTCCAAATACTCTAAATTTTAATAATAAAATTAATATAATAATATATAATATGTTAGAGTTAAAAACTTATCTAAACTAGATATGACCAACTAAATTCACGAATAATTTATTTACTACGTGGTTAAACTTTATTACTTTATATAATTTTGACATCTTAATCGGGATGAAAAAATTCAAAATTTTGTGTCGTACGTTGTTAATCATTTTAATTTTTTGTAACAAAAATATTTTGTTATAAAAAGTAATTTTTTTTTCAATTTTTTTTAAAAAAAAGAAAAAATTTGATCCACTTTAACTAAAAGTAGATTGATGAAATCTTCCCTTCTAAGGAATCCAATCTCAAATCTCAATACCCCACAAATTTCTCCCTCTTTTTGATTTATTCTAATAGCTATGTTCTTCCTAACATGAGTTGCTTCGAATTGGGTATAAGTTCTTAATACCCTCTATATATGTTTTTAAAATTGAAAATTTTAAAGTTCATCGTTTAATCGGACTTGAATTTGATGAAACGAGATAATTAGTTTCGTTTATATCGTCAGTTATTTATTGATACCGATATATATTCGTAGAATAAATAAGATATATATTCGTAGAATAAATAAGTGATTTTAATATTTTATTTTCAGAGTCTGAAATATTAGTACGTGTATATATATATGTGCATGTATATTTCTAAATTATATAAGTTGTTGATGAGAATAAGATACAACTTATAAGATGGTTGGGAATTTTTATTATTAAAAAATAAATTCCAAATATATTTTAATTAATTCCCTTTTTATTTTCTTTGGTTAATTAATTGATTTTTCTCTAACTTATTGCCTTGTAATTTTTTATTATGCCAATGTTTATGTAATTTTAATTACTTATGTTAATTAATTTGATTAACTTAATTAATTGATGTAAAAATAATGATTATAGTAAACAAGCTTGAATAAAATTGCTTCTAACTGTTAATGGCATAAATAATTGCTGAATGTTTACCTAATATATGCTAATATATATATATATATATATATAGGTGGATATTAATGGGCAACTACCAAAACTGCTAAGCAGTTTTGTAAGTAATAAATTTTAATATTTTTTAGGTATTAAAAAATGAAGAATAAAAATAATGAATTCTTAAATTTGAGGATTATGTAACCTTTTTTAATGGGATTTCTTTATAATAAAATTTTGGTAAAATTATATTTACATAACATAATTTTTATAATTATAAAATATAATATATGTATATATATATATTACTTTATGTGAATAAAATGAATAAGATGTGGTAAAAAATGTATGTAGTGTATAATTACAGAGTTTGTAATTAACCAAAAAAATCAAACATATATAGAAATATAATAATACTCAAATTATATTTTTGTATTTAAAATATCTTAAAAGGTAAATACTATATATTATCATATTAAATAAATAGATAATTATTATTATCACATTATCTTTATTTTAATATATTTAAAATTACTTTATACCATAAAGATATATATATATATTATCACATTAAGTAAATAGATAACTATGATTTATATTACCACATTATTTTTATTTTAATATATTTAAATTTATTTTTATATCATAAAGATAAATAGATAATTGTTATATTTATTAAGCATAAGATTATTTAAAAATTTTTTAAAAAAAATCTTATGTGTCAATTCTCTGTATTCCTCATATATATATATATATATATTCATAATAATTTATTTAATTAATTATAATTTATATATAATATGGTTTCAAATTTTATTAAATTATTAACATCATTAAGATGGGGTCACGTGCATGAAAGAAACCGTGGGTGAACGTGTACCCATCAAATAGAAAACTATGGGTTTTTTTGTATACTACTTTTATTTTCTAATATATATATATATATTATAATTATATAACACACACATATACATATATATATATAAATATACCAATAATCCAACTAAATTTTTTTCAATATTTTTATTTTATTTTAGTTCGTTGTTTAAATTTTGATGGATATTGACCATTTTCTTTATTTAAAAAATAAAAAAAATTAATTAAAAATTACTGGGACCCACGTCGGGATTAGTCGCTTAAATTATAAAACAATGTACTTAAAATATTATTATATATTATATTATATTTTATAGCCACCCTACCTTAATTATTATTTAATATTTAAAAAAAATAATAGTTTGAATAAAATCAGAAAATAAAAAATAATAAATAAACAAATGGAAAATTAGTATTTTTTGTTTTAAATTAATTTTATGTGTAATTTAATTATATATTTTATTTATTTATTAATACGAATAGGATTAGTTAAAAATTTTAAAATTAAATAAAAATAGATAAAAGCAAACTTAAAGTATAATTACTTAACTTAATCCTTTTCTTTATACTGGAGACGTTGACGATAATCCTAATTAGTAAAAAATTATCCGTTCCTAATCCCGTTTATTATTTCCGCTCATTTTCCGTCTTTATAAACACCCCCCCCCTTCTCTTCTTCGTTCCTCTCCTCTCCCTCTCTCTCTCTCTCTCTGTCTCTAGTTCTGTAACTCTCTTTACAAGAACCTCTGATAAATCCTTCTCTCTTTGTGATCAGAAATGGCAGCCAACGGTGAGAAAGGCCTGATCGTCAGCTTCGGTGAGATGCTCATCGACTTCGTGCCCACAGTCTCCGGCGTGTCCCTCGCCGAGGCTCCGGGTTTCCTCAAAGCCCCCGGCGGAGCCCCAGCCAACGTCGCAATCGCCGTGGCTCGGCTCGGCGGGAAAGCCGCCTTTGTCGGAAAACTCGGCGATGATGAGTTCGGCCACATGCTCGCCGGGATCCTCAAGGAAAACGGCGTCGTCGCCGACGGCGTTAACTTCGATAAGGGAGCAAGAACTGCACTCGCCTTTGTCACCTTACGCGCCGACGGAGAGCGTGAATTCATGTTCTACAGGAATCCTAGCGCCGATATGCTCTTGACGCCTGACGAGCTCAACCTTGAACTGATCAGATCTGTACGTC